ACAGTTGCTATTTTTTCCTCTTTCATATTAATTCATGTTGCAAATGAGCATCTGTTAAGTTATTTTGCTTTTAGGTGCATTATCCTTTCTAATTATTTCCTCTGCACCTATTCTTCTACTTCATAGAAAAAATCTATTTCCTTGACTGTGTGCTCTATTCATGAAATGACTACAGGATTCTTTTATCAGAACTAAAAATAACCATCCGGACACTTCTAGTGTCCATTACCTCAGCATATTGAGCTTACACCTGGCGGTCAGACTGTGTTTCCTATCTGAGGCATTCACATTTCCAGACAGCAGTTGCTCCAGGCAGAAACTTTAGAAGGATCCTAAAATCCTCATGTCCGGTTGATTCACAAGACTTGTGAATTCCCTCTCCCAAAGACCTCCGTGCTATTCTCTCCTCTCTACCTACTCTGCATTCACTGGAATCATGTCCTCTGTCAGATCTCAGCTTGAATGTCACCTCCTCAGAGAGTGTTTCCTAACACTGTTTAAGAAGCATCATTTTACAGTTACTGCTAAACCACCTCCCTTCCTTTGTAATTCCTGTAACAATTTGTTGTAATTCATTTCCCCTTTTTACTAACCTGTCTGTTTTCCCACTTGGATGAAAATTCAGAGATAGTGATATCCAGCTTGTCTGATAAGTACTGTGCTAGCTTCTAGCTCATAGCAGGCATTTGGTAATAAGAAGAAGTGAATGGCTGAATAAAAACAACATGTGCTCCCCTTACTATTAGGTTCATTTGCTTCCATTTCCCTTGCTTGTTTCATAACAAACCCTGGTGGCACAGATAGACTGTTTATCAAGCACGGAGATCTAACCATGGTACTTCCCAGATTACAGACCTTTCCCTTTTAAATGCAAAGCCAGTATCATTTTCTTTAGCACACTCTCTGACAGTGGTCCCCATTGCCAAGGACAACATCCACACAGCTCATGGAATTGAATTAGAGAGGTCAAGCTGGTGTGGGGGCTGAGCTTTCACTCCTACATTCTAGTCTCTTTGGCGCTAGAAGGCATTCCCCGGCTATGGAAAGAGAAGCATGGGCATCATCCCAGATACAAAACCCTTCACCCAAGATGGGCTGCAAGATGGGCTGAGGCAATGGTGGTGCAGAACTTGTGGGAGTGGCCAACCGATGTCTGGGTTCACTTGAGGTCTTCTCTACAAAATGAAGCCCATGACTTACACCGCCTTGATGGGCAGAAAAGAGAGACTGGATAGCCCAGAGAACTAAAGTAGAACCAAACATGATTTGCAAATAAACCAACCAACCAACCACACAACCAAACAAATATAAACAATGAAATGATTTCTAATGATAGTATGCTATACGCATAGATAGGTGCCTTGTGCAGTTGTCATCAGAGAGGCTTTCTCCAGCAGCAGTAGACAAGAGCAGGTGTAGAGACACACAATCAGACATTATGCAGAAGAAGAGTCTAAATTGGAGGTCTCCATCAGGTCCCTCCCTTTTACGAGATTCCCGCCTGGGTCCTGTCGCTGCTTGAGCCCCCCAAATAACAAACAGAAACTCTATTACTTACAAAATGGTTGGCCAATGTCTACAGCTTCTATTGGATAACTCTGTTTTAGGTATTAACCCATAATTATTAACACACATACACACACACACACACACATATATATTTCTCAAGGTCTTATCTTACTGAGAACACCAAACTTGCGTGTTCTATCCTCCCAGGATCACATGGCAACTCTCCAATACATTTCCCAGAATCCTCCTTCTCTCCTAATCCCACCTATCTGGCTTCCATATTGGCCTGCAGTGTTTTATTCATTAACCAATAAGAGAGACACAGAAGGACATCCTCCATCACTTCCCTTTGGAGATCTTGGTAGTCAATGGAGGAGGGGAAGAAAAGATTGTAGGAGTCAAAGGGATGCATCAGGAGAACATGGTCTACAGAATCATCTAAGCAGGGCTTACCTGGGCTCACATGGACTGAAGCAGCAAACACGGGGCCTGCACAGGTCTGCAACAGTTCTGTGTATGTGTTATGGCTGTTAGCTTGGTGTTTTTGTGGGACTCTTAGCTGTGGGAGCAAGTGTGCCTCTGATTCTTTAGCCTTCTCTTGGGACTCTCTTCCTCCTATTGGGTTGCTTTGCCCAGCCTCAATATGAGGACTTTTGCCTTGTTTGATTGTACCATTTTGTCCTGTTTGGCTGTTTTCTCTTGTAAACCTTCTCTTTTCTGATGAGGAAACAGAAGGGGAGTAGATTTGAAAAAGAGGGCAGGTTGGGGGAGCCAGGAGGAGTGGAGGGATGGGAAACTGTGGTTGGTATGCATTTTATGAAAGAAGAATCTATTATATATACCTAGACACCTTTAAATACCCTTCTTTGAAAAGGAGGAGTCTAGTTTTCAACCCATTGCATAGTTCTCTATTCATTCACCTAACTTGATGGAACACATGATTAGGCCATACATAGCCTTATATATTCCCATTCCTTGAGCTGTCCCTTCAGTTGGCCAAGCCGTAAGAATACTCAGACTACCTTACGTTGCCATATGTCTGTTTAGAAGCTAGAAGTGTAAAGTAATCCCAAGGTAAGAAGAGGGAAGGAAAGTTTTTAAATGAAGAGAAGATTAGCAAACCTGGAAGTGGAAAACAATAACAATAATAATAACAAATCCCAGTGAAACCCAAAGGTTATTCTTTGAAAGCATCAGTAGTATTTAGAAGAATCTCACTAGACTCTTTTATCTAACTGTTGCCCTTTCTCCCCAACCATCTAACTGAACAAAACATAGTTTCAAACATCAGGGAAAAGAGGCCACCATAGCAGACTTCACAGACATTAAAAGAATAACGTATTTAATCTAATTGCAGTCAAAGTTCCTATTATCTCTTTTATAACACTAGAAACCAATGAGTTAGTACTATGGACATTGCAGAATCAAACATACTTTTGTGATCCAACCTGGTAATTGTGATCTTGGGCCCCAAGGATGGGAACAGTTATGCACATGCAAGTACCTGGGCATAGATGTTTATAGGAACTGTTAGTACTTGTCCAAGTTTGGAAGTAATAAGGAGGTTTAAAAAAATCAGTGATTGCTACAGACTTGGGGGGGGGCGGGGGAATGAGAAGAAAGATGAATTGACAAAGCAGGGAGTAATGTTAGGGTAATGAAATGACCCAGCATAGCATATTGTCCAAATCCACAGTCATAGGAGGTAGCAACTTAGTAAGTATGTGCTGAGCAGGCTGACTTATGACGGTGACGGCATAGGTAGATCAGTTGTACCTCCTCCTTGAGGAGAAAGTTGGAAATAGAGGACGCACACACCACACAAGCCCACTCATGCGGGTATGTGCAAACTCCTTTTAACTTTTGCTTAGTTTCTATCTGAATCTAAAACAGTTCTAAAACAATATAGTAAAAATGTTCAGCTTTATCAATAAAAGCATTTTATCTAAGCAATTACACAAAAATACAAAAGCCTAGAATAGTTAAGTGCTTTGTTTTATAAAACTAGTATGGGCTTTATGTTACCTAACTTTGGAATTTATTTTAAAGCTATAGTTGGAAGCTGTAACAGACATAAATATATATCCTACAAAATGAACTTATTTTAGGGGGAGGGGAAACGCCACAGTCACCAGCTGAGGAAACAATACATTCATGTCACATGTTGCCTCTGTGTGTGTGTGTGTGTGTGTGTGTGTGTGTGTGTGTGTGAGAGAGAGAGAGAGAGAGAGAGAGGGAGAGAGGGAGAGAGAGGGAGAGAGACAGAGAGACAGAGAGACATACACAGAGAGAGATTGCCTAAACCTTTTCTTTTTCCACAGACAGCACCACAATGTACTTGAAAGAATCCATGGACCTGAAAGTAGAAGCTTAGACATGCCTTTAGGAGGGTTCTTCATGAAGAAAGGATCTTGGCTCTGGGTTCTCATTAGTCCCTTAGGAGATTTACTTCCTATTCTACTGAAAGGAAATTCATTGGAAATACTGTAACTTCTAAGCGGCCTCTTAAAAATGGATATATATTAACTATAAACTAAAAAGGAAATAAGCTATGTATATAACTACATGTACTGTAATATGGAAATGCATACATAAGCTTTCTTAGTAGGCAAAACAGAATATATTAATAGAGACTCCAGTATCATATACAGAGTTGCAATCAGTGATAGGAGTCTTGGAAATGTTATATGAATTTTGGTGAATTAGAAATCCACAAAATATTGTCTCAGTTGGCTTAATTGCTTCATCCTGTAAAATTAGGAAATGCAAATTTTTATTTTCAAGCAAATGCAATCAGATTTCAAATATAAAACAATTCCTTTCTTAACAAATATCTACAGTATTCCCCCATGCCTTTAATACCACACACACACACACATACACACACACACACACACACACACACACAGAGACACGGGGGGGGGGCGAGCTCATTTAGAAGTCCAAGAGGAGGACTTGATCTTGATCCCATGTTGCATTGATGCAAAGAATATCCTGTGCTTCCTAAAACCTATTTAGTTGCTATTTGATGTCTTATTGAGAACCATTAATCTTGACCTTATCAGTAACAACCTGGTATGGCGTGGTCATCTGATCCCGGTGACAGAAGAACAAAATACTGTTCTGTTGGGTTAAAGGGAAGAAGCCGCCATGACTGAAAATCCTTGCAGACACTTCATCCCCTTTTAATAATGTCCCCTGAGTACAGGGCCAGATTCTAACCAGTGGAGTGATGAGAACCATTTCAACAGAGCTGACATAGCTTCAGCCTGCCACCCCCTGCTGCTGCCTGGACAGTCACCTCCCAGGAGGAGTGTCCCCACAGGCAACCGCAGTCCCTTAATGCCTTAGCACCCTGGTCTGGGGACAGCCTGGGATCACCTGGACCCAGGGCAGCTGCATAGTTTTGCCAGGACTTTCTGAGGAGCAGAAGTTTCTAACTGTACGGATTTGTGGGAGATAATGTTTTCCATCTGGAGGTATTACGCAGTCCTCAGAGTGCCTTGATGTCAATTACTTTCTTCATGCTGTATAAGTTTGGTTAAGTCTACTAAGGCGTGATTGCCCAGACATAGGAAGCACCCAGAGGAAAGGTCCTTTCAACCAAGGACCCTTTAAAGGCCCAGGCCTGGGAAGGGGTGGGGACTGTGTGGGGACTGTCCTTTCTCCCCCACCCTTGGGCGGTGGCGGTGCAGAGCTGGGGAGGGCTGTCTCCTCCTCTTTTCCCCCGCAGCTGCTCACTCCAGCCTGGGCGGACCGGAGGCAGTAACTCCGTGGGCTCCTGAGGAGGGGATCTGCTCGGGCCACGATGACAGCGGCCGGGGTCCTCCTGCTCCTGCTCTTGGGGACGCTGGGAGGCTCCCAGGCGCAGCGACCACAGCATCGGCGACAGTCCCCAGCGCATCAGCAGAGAGGTACTGTCCAGGGCGCCCTTTCCCGGGACCGCTGCTCCTAACTGGCTTCAGCTGGCCAGAGTCGGCTGGCTGGGGACCACTTTCTTGATTAACTTTAGGCAGTCCGCTTTCAAGCACAAGGGGCCAGGACTCCTGTAATCTAAGGGTCAGATCCAGGAGTGAGAGGTGCAGGAAAATTACCTCCAAGAGAAGGGGTACCAAGCGCTTTCTGCTTTTTCGCGCTCTAAGTCCTGGAAAGTGTTCTATGGAAAACTTTTCAAAGTTCCCAGGGTAGGCTTTTTCCAACCGAGAGAAAACGTTTCACAAAATTAAATTCCACTCCTGCAGAGGAAGGCTTCCCTGAGCCGTAGTTTATCTTAGAACTTTAAGTAATTTTTTTTTTAACTTTAGGATCGTGTTTCCAATTATTTATATAGAGTAGTTTAGTGTAAGAATAACACATCCATCCGCACTTTGAGAAATTTCCTCTCGCTTGAAATACAGACTACACCTCTGTGTATTTTAAGACTGCAGGGGATCAGATACACATTTCTGTGGCTTTGTGAAACAACTGTTCAGTACAACTAAATTATTCTTATCAGCAAATCTTCATGTTTCCGTGCATGTCTTTCAGAAAGCTCGGGAGACTTTGCAGGGTTATCAGAAATTTTTAAAAGATGCACACTCACAGCGTTGAGAAACATAATTTGTAACACATTGTTCCGGGACGTATTTCCCAAAGCTGGAAAACTTGAATCAAAGTAAAAAGCATTTCAGTAATATGAGAGCTTTGTTTTAAAGTATTTGCCCTCAAAAGTACAAAATCTAGAGGAAAAAGGGCTTTGGAAAACTGGAGGAGGTTGTAGTAGAGTTTTGAAACACAGTTTTCTGTTTATTAATTAGCTGGAATCAAGCCATGTCTAATAGTCTCTGTGTTTGTTCTTGTGGTAGTCTAGCACTTTCCACACTACTGTTTGAGAAGACACAAAGAGATAAACTATGGTCATCATTGTAGTCTCTGATTATATATAGTTCCTAGAATAAAAATGACTTCCAGTTTCTCTAGATAACTTCCTTCTATTCTCACAGAGGTGAAATGAGTTCAATGTGGCGCAAATAATAGAATTACTGGAGACTGTGCTCTGGGGGAAAGTGTGGTTGGCAGTTGGTTTGAAAAAAAAATGCTACATTTAACCTTCTTTCCTTTCTTCAACTGAGATTAGCAACAGGTGGTACTTCATCACTGTTGGGCTTTGGGAGAGATGGGCTGGGTCTGTGCACTCTTCTCCACTGGAAATCAAGCAGAGCTTCAACCCTGCAGTGTAGTCACCAGCTGAGTTCCTGAGAATTCTTTCTGCACACACATAGTGTATTTTCTCTCCATTCTCTCTTCGTACATCTATTTATTTACTTTTTTTGTGGTGGAGTACACACATGGTGGTGGTATATGTGTGGTGGTCAGAGGTCAGTTTGGAAAGTCAGAACTTTCAACATCTGAGTTCCAGGAATAAAACGTATGTCATTAGGCATAGGCAAGCACCCTTACCCAAGGATCCAATCTCCTGGCTTTGTTAATGTCATTGTTATAGCCATTTGTTGTAGTTATTGCAGTATATTTGGAGATTGGCTCCTGGGTAAGTGATTTAAATTTATTAATAATAAAAATATATTTAAAATTCATTTATTATGGCTTAAATTAGTGTGAATGCCTTATAATTTAATGTACTTATATAGAAGTCACATAACCTTGTATTATGAGATCTATTTTCATCTTCAGTTATCATTATTCCCACAGGACTAATTTAAAACCTAAGGCTTGGAGTAGTGGCCACAGAGGTTCGCATAACTGATGAGAATATTCTTTTTATAAACTACAAGTGTACACAGTAACGTTTATGCTCACATTTCCTTTCCATGGAGTCAGGGTCTCTTTCCTTTTTCTTTTTCATACTGCATATCAGTTAGGATCACTAAGAATGGTTTGACAAGAAATGTTTTCTTGGCTACCATCAACTTTTCTGGCTTTGATTATATTTACTAGCAATGACCTTTATGTCCCAGAATTAACTGTGAAGGATCTCTGTTTTCCCTTACAGACCAGTGCCAACGTCTTAAGGATGTTCACATGTGGTGTATTTAGACTTTGTAACACAGTGGTTCTCAACCTGTGGATCATGACACCCTTGGGGAGTCAAAAATACCCTTTCCCGGGGGTTGCATATCAGATATCCCGCATGTCAGATATTACATTATGATTCATAACTGTAGAAAATTACAGTAATGAAGTAGCAACAAAAATAATTTCATGGTTGGGGGGGGTCACCAAAACATGAGGAACTGTATTAAAGGGTCACTGCATTAGGGAGGTTGAGAACCACTGCTCTAATGGAATTAGAAACTTACCCAGATTTTATTTATTTGCCACTCCCTTTCCTTGAAAATATTGCATATTTTCTATAGAATACTGAGTTATAGTGTGAATATCAGTGATTCAGTTGTTTGATTGTATAGAAAAATTTTCACTATCCTGTTAATATAAAAAACAGGATGAGTCAGTCAAAGTGAATCTACCTTTCAGCAAAGCAGAAAATAAAATGATCTCAGATATTCACATGATAAATATAGAAAGGTGTAAGCATAACAGTATGTAATCTGCAATTGAGGGAAAAATAGTTTCCTGTGAATATTGTATACTGAGTGCAATCAATCTGGTACTATGACAGTTTCCTTATGTCTCTCTATAGAGGAAAACATACAATTTAAGTTGTCAGAACTTTAGTTACTCTAAAGTTAATCTGTTTGTCTAAATTTGGTTGGTGGTGAATAACAGGTCCAGAAATTTCAGAGGTCTCCACACCTGGACCATGGAGCCTGCAAGAAATTAGTTTATTACTCATATCCAGCTGTTAAATGATTCATTCTCTTCTGGAAACGTACTGTGCCCCTTATAAATGTGCAGGAATAAGGGTGGAAATACCACTGTGAATTGCAGCAGCTTGAGTGTGAATATAGAGTCTGGAAGTGTGGCAGAGAAGTCAACTTTCATCTGCACATAGAAGCAGACAAGGTTAACAGAGTTGAGTGCCCGACTCATAAATCCACAGGCAGGGGGACAGCAGTTATGGCTTTGAAAAGATGTTCACAGGAGACATAGTCCAAGGGAAGGATTTTCATTGAAGAAGAAGGAACGAAAGGAAAGGGAATAAAAGACGCCTTCAGACCTCAAGGAGTTCTTACATGAAAAGGGTTGAGAGGGTCTGTCTGAATTGGGTCCATAGAAGAATATGGGAAATAAGAGGGCTCTACTCCAATAAAAAGAGGAATCTTGCTCTGTCTGCCCTGTTACACTTACCACTCATTCCGAACAGTTCAGCAGTAACTAGGAGCTCCTTGCCTCTGAAATGTCCACCTGATGATAAGATGCACAGCTGACCAGGTGACCCGTAGGAGATCCTACACAGACAGGAAGTTACAGCATGTGACATTTTTAGTCCTGCTTCAGTTCCAAGATCCTGGAATTATAATTCATTGTTTTTGGAGTGAATACTTGTCTCTCAATCTCTGGATTCTTAAAAAAGTCAACAAAATGTGAAATGTGTTTAAATGTGTATTTAGATGCCCTCTGGAATTTAAAATAAAAACATGTTTGGGACAAACCTTTCTTATTTCTGGCAAAAATACTTAAACATTTCACAAGGAATTTCCACATCACTGAAAATTGCATGGTTTTAAAACATAATTTGTTATACAATGTGAAAAAAGTTTATAAATGACATAAGATATTGTCATGGGGTTTATTGTAGTCATAAACCTAAAGTTATTATTTTTAACCTTTGTTTTGTTACTTTCATGGCTTGATAGCTTATTTACTGTTCATTGACATAATAGTTTAGTAAAAATTCTTCGAAACAGATGAAAGCGAGAATACAAACATATTCAAAATTGACTATGATTTATATAGTAGAATTAATAAGGTTGATACAAATACTTTGAATTTCACATATGGTTGTATGAATATTTCAGTGGGGAGCCTTGAGGGTTTTTCATCCAGGGGTATCATGAAAAGTACTGAATTGCATCTATATAAAAGATGTTGGTCATAAGAAGCAAAAATTGGGCATGCTTTTTCCATTCTCCCTCAAATCACTTCCTGAAATATGGATCAGCTGACACCTTTAAATATGGTCATTGTAAAACCCAATTAGGTAACCCAAGGGTACTAGCCATGAATGGCAACATCTGAAGGAAAAAAAAAACCTTTATATTTTATGGAGGGATTAGGTAGAGGGCTATTTCTCAATGGGAGTCCGAAGGGATGATTCTGTGAGTTAAGTGTTTGCTGTCCAACATGAGGTTCTGAATTTGGAACATTGGTGCTCATGTAAAAGCCAAGACTAGTGGTCACTGTAACCCCAGTTCAAGGAGCAGGAGAAATGAGGATTCTGCGGGTTCTTTGTCCAGCCACTGTAGCAGGATTGATAAACTCCCGGTTTACTGGGAGACCTTCTCTCAGAAGTAAAATGGAGACAAATAAAGGAAGATACTAACATTGATATCTGACTCCCACATGAGCACGCATATATAACTGCCATACACACAGATAAAATACAAACCCACACATACACACACTCCAAATTTTTCCAGATAATTTCTACTATACTACAACAGCTGTGAATAAAAAAAATGTACTTGATGGCACATTTCCCAACTCATAAACCTCAGCTCTATTCATCTAAAGCAGAGAGTTACACATCTAGTAAATCCTAAATATTCTGACAATGAACATGTTAAACCTCTAAGATTGAAGCCACTTCTTTTAGTCTAAATAGACATAATAGGAACTACTAATAAGTAAACTTTGTAACATACCTCACTCACACCTTTCTTCATAACTTATGTTAGGATTAGGAGGTCAAGTATCTGTCCACAATGGAAATAGAAGACCTAGTAAGCTCACAGAATGGCAACCACCTTAACCTGGAACATATACTGCAAAGTCAGTGGAGTGATTGCCTGTTTAA